ATCCGGTGCTGTACTGTCATAATCAGATACTGTGCTGTCATAATCTGAAGCTGTACCATCGTAATCCGATGCAGTGCTGTCATAATCAGATGCTGTACTGTCATAATCCGATACTGTACTGTCATAACCCGATGTTGTACCGTCATAATCCGACACCATACTGTCATAATCCGATACTGTACTGTCATAATCCGATGCTGTACCGTCATAATCCGACACCGTACTGCCATAATCCGATACTGTATTGTCACTTTCGCTGTATTGAGTTGTTTCGACATAATCGTAGTCTGTAGCCATGGTGCTTTCATCGTCGCGCTCCGTTGGTTTTTCTTCGCTGCTGCTGCTGCTGCTGTCGTCATCGGAATCACTTTCACTGCTCTGGCCACCTGGATTAAGAAACTCAGCATGTATTTACTAGAGTTTGTGGCCTGCAAATACTATATGCAATAGAGTACCTACTCTTCTATGCACCTAATCAGGGCACATAAATGTATCTTAAAATGAGCAGCGCACTGCTATTAAGTTAGAATGCCAATGAAGACATCTGACACAACAAATGTACTCCTGCAGCAAACATTATGCGGCGCGATACAAGTTTGTGTTACTGGTATTTCGGCCTGGAGGCACTCTTGCCAAACTTCGGAACAACCCAGGCTCCAACTCACCACGCTAACTGGTGCAATCAAGTGTTATTGCGCTAAACTTGAAGCAGCCAGGTATTAACTGTACACTGAAAATAACCTGGAAGCTCCAGTTCCCAAATCGGCTATTTTTTGCCGAAACTTTTACGTGTCCGTAAACCAAGGAGCCGAATTTAAAATCTATGAGTTGTATGCTAACAAGATCCAAATTTTTTAGCTTTTCGGCTTTTCTGGTTCCTGAGCCAGCAATTCTCTAGCCATGCTTTCACTTGTCCGTAAAGGCGGCTCAGACATATATGCTAGCTGATATCATGTTCTTAGGATTGCATGTGACTAAGGAATTCACGGGCAAAATTTCAGCGTCGAAGCTTGTCTGCTTGCCGAGCTGGAACTAAACACAAACGAACACATACATACATTCGACGGTCGTCACAATTCGCGCTTCTGTGCACTTTTGCATGTAGACAGATGCAACCAGACTGCCACGAGCAAGGTTTTCCGGTGCGATTATGCGTTTTTATGCGTATTTTGCAGCAATGCAATGCGAAAAACGCATATTGACGAGAGGTTGTCTGTGTGTCCGTGTGTCTGT